CCCCCCACCCCCGCTTCATTTTCCGTCTGTAGCCTCGGGATCAGCGGCTCTTGCCAGAAAGTGAAGAGATCCACTGCCGCCCAATTTCCTCACTGTCCTGAAGCTCTTCAGGTTTTTTTTGTTCTTGCCCAGACAACAACCATTTATTGGATGCCTCCTGAATACCTAGCATTATTAGGCTTTCCAGGAAATACAAAGACTCCTATACAAGCTAGAGAGCCATAGTCCACTGAAGGCACCTGGTTTGTAAGGGTGAGAGACTTGAGTTCAAGTTCCAGCTCTGGGACTAATTAGCAAATTAGCCTATCTGGGTCTTAATTTCCTCACTTGTAAATCAATAGTAAAATAACGTGTGGTGGGATTAAATGAGACTGTAAACATGCTCTGGGATAGATTGTCATCCCCTCGTTTTCTGACTTACAAACCTGCTTCCTCTTTCCTTAGCCATCTTGTCCTCCTGGGACATCTGGGAGCTGAGTGAGATGCCCCCTCCTGTCATTGCCTTGTCGAATTTTATTACCTGTTCACCTCCTGTCACCCTAGCAGTCAGTGAGCTCTCTATATCCCCAGGGCTATATAGATCCTTGGAACTGGAAGGGATCTTCTTTTTAGCCTGACTTCTGGGCTCATCCTTTGGGGGAGGGACTCAATGTTTCCCAAACCTGGGCATCAGAATTGGTTGGGGAATATGATGTAAATATATGAGTGTGGAACCTCTTCTCAGAGGTTCTAATTCAATGGATCCTAAAGAGTAGTGGGCATTTACCCACTTGTGCTGATGCACAACGAAACCTTTCTTCAGTGATTCTAATAAGCAGTGAGTTTGAGAACCATTGCCTCACATAGCAATATTACACATTCATTCACTTATTCATTCATTCAACAGACATATTGAGCTCCTACTCTATGCCCAGGCATGCCATAGCCCTGGAGATATATAAAAATAGTCACTAAGTACTGGGACATCAAGAACTGGGTAGGTAATAAAATCCAACAAGTACAATTACAAGCAAGAGCACCTAGCTCTGTTCTTAGATATCCAGATGTCTCAAGAGGCCAGGGGGGAGGAAGGAGGAAGAAGAGGAGGCGGAGGTGAGTATGGCCTTGCAGGAGGAAGGTTTGTGAGTCAGAGGAAGAGGGAAGGACAATCCATCACAAAGCAAGTTTACATGCAAAGTCTCAGTTAATCTCACGGTATTTTATTATTGCTTTACAAGTGAGGAAACTGTGGCCCAGATGGGCTAACTAGCTAATTCCAACCACTCCCATTTGGCTCTCATACCTGGCCTCAGAAGTACTCCTTAGCTCTAACCTCCTTCTCTCCCACTAGCCCCACTGTTCTTAGGTCTTTCCAGCAACAGGCCTGGTCTTAGGAGTCCGCTGGGTTCTTCTCCTTCCTCCAATCTCTCTCTGATCCAGAACCACTTCCCACCTCCCTCCTCCTTTCAGTTGATTTGGTTATCCATCCATCCACCTACCCATCCATCCATCCATCCATCCATCCAATATTTATTTTCTCTTTACCGACTTTTCACTCCCAGTCATGTCTGCGTCACATTCACCGTTGATTCAGTTTCCCGGCTGGAGCCAGTGGGCAGTCCCCTGGAGAACACTGCCTTCTCAGAGTTGGTACCTTGACCCAAGACTTAAAGCAAAGGAAGGCTTAAGACAAGATGTCCTTCTGAGTCCCACCTTGTGGGTACCCTCTTCCTCGCCCCTCTGGGGTGGGTGGCTGGGCTTGAGAACTGCTAATGAAGCAGCCGCCAATTAACACCTGGGCCAGGGGTGGGGGCGTTTAAAATTAGCAGCCGCGGCTGCATGAGGGAGCTGGAGGCAGGGTAGGGAGGATGGGCAGCTGGCTGAAGGGGGCCTTGTTTGCAGGAGGCAAGCTGCGGTGACGAGGCCCAGGTCTCCAAACTCGCGGTCGTCCCTTCCCCCACCTCTTCGTCCCAGGCCTTCCTCCTTCCCTCCCTCATCCGACTGCAAACTCAGCGCCGACGAAATTAGGAAGGAAAAGGAAGATCGATGACTCCAGATGCCGCAAACACCGTTTGCCCTCCCCCCACCTGCTGCCTCCCACCAGCCTCACGGAGCTTAGCAGGTTGTCAGCGCTCTGCTTATGCTGTTTCTGCATCTCCTTGAATGGGATTTCAAGGCCTTACACCTCCTCCCCTAAATTGTCCCAAATGGTCCGCTGGCAGTCCCCTCTCAGGTTTAATCCTCATCCTCATCCTCATCCTATCTCCTGCAATTTAATTTCGCCCACCTCTGAGAGGTACATCCCCGCCTCAGGCAGAGCTCCTACCCCAAGGGTCGCCCTCATCTCTGTCTGATCTGGTCTTGGATGACCTCCAAGGTGCTAGCTCAGTCAATATTTGCCACAGTTTCCCCACGAGCCGCTAGCGAAAGAGGCCCTGGCCAGGTCTCTGCCAGACATAAACCTGCACCGTTCCCCTCTTCCCTACAAAGGTCTCACACAGACTCCTATTGGGTTTTACTTTATTTTATTCCCTTTCCTGTCTGTTTTGGAGTAGAAAAGAAATATCACCAAGAGGAAGCAGCCAGAAAGGGGCAGGTGGAGCAGGACTGCAGGAAGGGGAGGGAGGTGGGCAGAGGGCAAGGACTGGAGTCAATCGCCTATCCAGGACTTTGCTTTTGTTACCCTAATTGGGGTTTCGGGGAAAAGGGGACAGGCATATGGCAAGCAGAAAGGAACAGTGCTAGGCCGTGGATTATAGTCTTTAGCCTTTACGTAGGGACAGGGTGGAGCAGGAGGACAAACGTCAAGGTGGGATGAGGGTGCCAGGCCAGGCATTATTAAAGCTGTGCACAAAGGGAGTGCCAGCCTAGCGCCAGGGGCGTAAAGAGGACCCAGTGTGGACGTAGGGGATGCTGGGACCGCCTATCTGGGGCTGCGCTTTGCCTCTCCACTTTGGGGTATAACTGAGGGGACTACTCCCAGGCTCGTTGGCACTCCCAATAACGAAAAGGGGACCCGCGCCGGCTGATGGTCCTGGGAGGGCTGTTCCTCTCCTCCAGAGTGGAAGGATGGACGCAGCCACATGAGTTGTGGGGTAACGGGGAGGGGTCCCACTCAGGACCCGGGATTTGGCAGCTCAGGGGCCGGGCTGGGGCGGGGCACACTATCCAAAGTAGGGGTGTTCGCTCTGGAAGTTATAATCGGGGCACACCTTCTGCACCAGTTTGTAGTCAAAACTGAGGAAGGAGACGAAAATGCAGATGACTTTGAAGGGCTTGGCACAGAGCCAGGCTGCCTGACTCTGCGTATGCTCGGTGAAGCACACCTGCGATGGGTCGTACAGGCACGGGCGGTGCTTGCGCGCGCGGTTTGTCTTCTCATACTCCACGTGGCAATTGAAAGCGCGTGACTCTTTGGCCCCGGGCACTCCCAGGGAGCCCCCGAGTGGGCCCGCCAGCGCGCCCCCGAGAGTACCTCCTAGCCCCGCACCGGCGGCCGCAAGCCCAAGCGGAGGCCCCAGCCCAGGAAGCACCCCCTCCAGCGCCAGTGTAGACTGCAGAGGGTGGGGGGCGGGGCCCGGCAGCCAGACGCCCCCAAACTCGACACGTTTGGAGGGCGGCACGATACTGACGGTGAGGTTGCCCAGGCTGGACGAGTTGTGGCGGAAGTACACGCTGAAGGTCCCGTTCACATGGTCCACGATCTTGCCAGTCACCAGCAGCGAGAACTTGAGGGTATGCACCCGGAAGTAGAAGTCGCCCCAGCCGAAGATCTTTTTGGCGCGGGCCGCTTTGATAGACGGCTTCCTCTTGGTGCGCTGCGCAGGCAGCGCCCCCGCCGCCCTCTCCCCGGCCAGTGCCCCAGTGTGGTTAGCCGGCCAGGCCCAGCGCCACGAGCCGGCGGTGCCCAGGCTGTCGGAAGACCTGGGCGCTGGGAGATGTTGGCCAGGGGCGCCCCCTCCGGCTGCGGCGGGGCGCAGCTCCATGTACTGTGGCCTCACGGACTCCGGTATCTGGGCACTGACGTCCTGTGGACGAAGAAAGAGGAAGAAAGAGAGACGCTTCAGTTGTCCCTGGCCACCGCCAGGGTCTTACCCACGCCAGCCTCTTTTTTCAGCCGCTAGAAGACCAAACAGAATCAGGCAGTCCGCAGCGAGTGGTTCAGCGTGCGCTGGAGTAGAACCTGCAGCCTTTCCAAGCTGTGTGTATGGTCTTGGCCAAGTCACTTCACCTATCTAGGCCTCAGTTTCTAAATCTGTGAAATGACGCTGAGAATACTTGTGTTCTTCCAGAACTCTGATGCGGCTAAGAAATCCCAAGCCAGTGTTGGTTTGAATAGGGAATGGAGCTGGGGTCCTGGGCTCCATCTCTTTCAGCCTGGAGTCTGGCTGGTCTATAGAGAAACGGGCCAGGAAGGAGCTGGATTCAGCCAAGCAAAGCCATGACTGCTGTCAACATCCAGCATCCAGAAAGAAGTGAAGATGTCCCTAGGCATCTGGGGAGACCAGAATCTCTACCCCAGCCTCAGCCTCTACTCCCTTGAGGGGAGGGTCTAAGGAAACTAGTAGAGCTGAAGAGAGCATTGGAGAATCTGGGCGCTTTGGGTTGAGGCTTGGTGTCTACTTCGGTACCCCTCCCTGCCTCCAGTGCTCCTGCTGTAGGGGTGGCCTCCTGGTGATTCTTCCCCTGGACTTGAAGACAGCAGGAGGAGCTGCCCGGGCCGCCCCTACCCATTTCCTTGTGTTTCAGGTGGCGGTGATTTGGGAGACAGCTCGGGCAGGAGTACAAGATAGATCGAGAGGCGGGAGCGGTGGGGCCAGGCCCAGGCCATCAATTATCTGGGGGTGGGGGGGCCGGGAAAGAGACGGGTGAGAGCAAGAGGAAGAAATATGGAGATGCCGCTCCAGGGAGGGGAACGGGAGGGAGAGGAGCTGTGTGTGTCAGAGTGTGTCAGTCAGACTGTGCTAGCTGTGGCCGTTAGTGTGGCCCTTAACTGTGTGCGGGTTCAGACTCAGAGGAAGGAGTACTGTGTCTGTCAGTCTGGAGTAGTTGCTTCTGTTAGCATGGGAAGGTCGTATTGCCTGTCTTTCTACTTGGATTGTGTGTGTGTGTGTGTGTGTGCGCGCGTGTGTACCTATGGTTATAGGTGTGTGTCTGTCTGAGGTAGCTGTGTGTGGTGGTTGTGTGTGTGGCCCTGGTGACCGTTTGTCTGTATTCTCATGTGTATCAGTCAGAGGAGACTGTGTATGTGTGTCTGCCTGCTTGTGGTGGCTGAATGTTTGTTGTGTCAGTCTGTATCAGCTATGTATGTGTACCTGGGCTATGTATGTGCCTGGGTCGGCTATATATTTGTGTTAATCTGAGTGAGGCTGTGTATCAGTTTGTGGTAGTTGCATCTGTGTGTTATAATTGCATTTCTGGGTTGGCTGTATGTCTGAGGGTGGCATATCTCTAGTTGTGTCACTTTTCCTGTGTGAGCTCCTATCATTCTCTGTCCATGTGTCAAGCTCTTTCTAAAGGGAGTGTGTCAGTATAGCCACAATAATAGAACAAGTATGCTTTCACTGTGTTCCCCCTGCGGAGATGCATTTGTGTGGGTTGTATACGAAGGGTCTCTGCCCACTGAGCTTTGTGTAGGTAAACAACCCTGTCAACATGCGTATCGCCCTCTGTTTGCACACAGCCATGTGTATACCATGCATCCATGGGGGGATATGAATGGCAGAGCCAAGCTGCTGGGCTAGAATCTTCACTGCCTGGTCCCCAACCCCGCAGCGCTGTGATCCTGGGTTATTAATGCGGCCGCCACCCGCTCGTCATACATATTTATCGCCCCCCTCATTCCTCCTCCTATCCATTCCTCCTCTCAGCTCAGGTGAGGGGGGTGGGGGCGGCAGGAGTGATTGACTCAGACAGACAAGCTTGAGCTAGATGGCAGCTAACACCAGGAGGGTGGGCCTGAGAGGGGCTGGTAGAAGGGGGTCCTAG